AGCCTCTACGTCATCCTACGGAAGCGCGAGTGATGCCGCTGGGAGGTGGTGGTGGTGGTGTGGTGTGACAAGGGCACTCGATGACGTCCACGGAGGAGACGGAGGCGGGGGAGAAAAATAGACGAGAAAACGGAAAAGGAAATTAACTACACACACAAAAAAAAAGACCAAAAAAAAAAAAGAGGAATAAACCCTCCCAGCAAAACCAAATCCAAACCCAACCGACCCCTAAAAAGAAACACTCAAAGGGTTACTTGTTAATTGAAGATGTATATAGTATCTATGGTTTAAAAAAACCTATTTATAACACTTTTTACATATATGTACATAGTATTGTTTGCTTTTGTTGACCATACGCTATGTTTTAAAGCCTAAAGCAAGTGCCTAAGGAACTATTACTCCTAACAGTGTAACAAGAGCGCGGTGATTCTTCTCTCATGCAAAACCCTTGTAGACCTGAACTCTCCTTCCCCATCCCAGAAAAACCAGAAAACCCCAGCTCTGACTGGTTTTAGGCTGGCGTAAATCAGAAGTTATGCCTGTCTACCCCAGCTGGAGGGTTGGCTCCCCGCGCCTGCCAACATTGCTGTGATCTTGGCGACCGAAGTGCATGTCCAGATCTGACGGGAGACGCTTCCGAAAGGTTTGAAGGATTTGGGAGCGAAGGCTTTTTTGATTGCCCCAAGTGCCTAAATGACTTATGTGCCTAAGTCCCGTCGCCTTGCCACCACACCCGCTGGGAATTTGGGCTTTTAAATCACTTAGGTTGAGTTGCGATCCAGCGTGGGCTTGTCCTCCTTCGCCCGCGCGGGCTCTGGGGGTGCCCCTGGTGCCGGGGGGGTGCCATGCCGAGCCGAGCTGCTGGGACACTGATGCTCCTGACCGTGAAATGTGCTTTATTCTTGCCGTGGAGCTAAACTACCGATGAGAAAAGAAGCGAATCCAGTATATATCTCTGAAATCAAATACCAGATGTATGAAATGGTGCTATCTATTTACCATTCCTTATATTGCTAGCCATTTAACCTTATTCACTGGAAATTCAGTTAACAGTCTTGAGGTAAACAATGAAGCTAGAAACAAGAAATAATTCTGTGTAATATAAATGAGCTATAACTGCTTTTGTACTTAGACTTGCTCTTACTATTCTTTTTAATAAAGCATTTATAACTGAAGTTCCTTTTTTCCCCCTGCTGCGATCCAGAGGAGCAGAAACAGCTCTGGGTGGAGCCCAGTTGGTCTCTGCTGCCGGAGCAAGAGTTCTGTCCTCTGTCTGTATGTCAGCGACGTGTCTGGCCATGAATTGAACGGGAACCTGTGCAGACCCCAGGCTGCCTTCTGAGGACTCCAGACACTGCTGCTTTTCTTGCTTTTGTTTCTTTTTTCTTTTTTTTTTGTGTTCCTTTTTTTTTCTTTTTTTTTTCTCCCTGCTTTGCGTTTCTGATTTTATACCAACTGTGTGGACTAAGAAGCAATGAAATAAAAGTCAGAATAACTCACTCACTTCTTCTTCCTGGCATTCTTGTGGGTTAGAGCTGGCATACCTCCTCCGCTCTGCTCGCACGGAAGGTCTCTGTGATGCCATGTGGCAGATTTGGGGGCTAATTCATGGGTCTGGGGCTGCCTGCGTGGCAGAAGTCCCTGTGCCAGAGGGCTGAGACCATGCTGGAGTGAGGAACGGAGCCCAGGGCCCCGTGCCGCAGTGCTGGTGCGTGCCCATCCTTCTGCCTCTGCCCTGTGATGCTCCTGTGATGTGGCCACCAGGTTCCCGAAGCCATCAGCCGTGCAGGGGCCACCAGGGCCGTGTTTATCCCCTGGATCAGGTCAGCATCAGCTGCCCTGGGGGGATCTGGCCAGCTCTGGCGCCTGGCACAAACAGCAGAAACCTTTCAGTCTCCAGCACCCGAAACACCCTGAGCCTGGGGGTGCAGTTAGAGCCGGGGGGATTAGCGCTTTGTGCGCGGCGTGGGCAGCCTTGACGGCTGGCATGGAAGCGCTCGCCCTTCCGATCCCTCATTGATTTGGCTGTTACAGATCCGAGCTGATGCAGCAGCTGGTGCTGGCAGGAACACAAGGGCTCTTGCGCGGCCACGTGCTGAGGCTGGTTCTTAGCGCTGGGGCAGATCCCAAAGCCCCCAGCCCAGACCCACCCCAAAGGAAAGGAGCAGGAGATGCCTCCTGTGCCCTCGGCTGCTCGGTGCGGGTCCTGGGCAGTGCAGCGTCACCACCCCAGCACCTCATTCCATGGCTGGGGCTCCCAGGTGTGATCTTCCAGCTGGAAGTACTTCCCTGTGTGCTCATTTTGCTGAGCTCCCACTAAGCCTGGGAGGGTATCTCGCAGCATTCGTGCACCTGGGAGCTGCAGGGCTGAGACTCATGGGCATCCTGGGTGCTGCCGGGTTTGGCACTGCGTACCTGGCAAAGGGCACACAAATTTCTCTTCTGAGGAGCAGGTAGGAACTCAGGTTTTTTTTGCTGGCTTTTTTTTCTGTGTTTTTTTTATGCCCCTCCTATAGGGAAATTAAAAAGGCTCTTTTTCGCTTTGGATCAGCGCTCAGAAGGCACAAAAGAAGCTCACGGCTTCGTTTTTGCCTCCTGGCTCGGTGCTCTTTCCCCCCTGGCGGGGTGCTCTTGCCAAAAACAAGCCGTGTTAGTTTGTGTTGAGAGCTCAGCTTCGCCGGAGCCAGGTGACTTTCGAAAGCAGAAACAACGCGAAGGTTTGAATCCCTGTGGGAAAGCGCCCACCAGGTCCTGTGGGAAAGCGCCCACCAGGGACCTCCCACCGGTGTGCAGCAGAGTCCCATCCTCTCCTCCAGCTGCTTCACTCGGGTTGAACGCCTCGGGTTGGAAAACCCCGCACAGATCCCGTCACCCCAACTTTCCGTCTCCAGCTTCGCGGGCGGGAGATGCCGCTGGGCGAGATGCAGCAGCTGCGTTTTCTCCCTCCAGAAACTCCTTATAGCAGCACAGCGCTGGCCTCCAAGGGTCTCTTTTGACCTTTTTCTTTTATTTTTGGGGCTTAATTCAGTGTAAAGCCGGATGAAGCGGGGTGGCAGTCCCGATCGCAGCCCGCGGCCGCCCCCCGGTGGCTGCAGCGGGAACGGCAGGGCAAGGGCACACACACCACCCCCCCCCCTTTTTCTTCCAGGGTAGGGTCTGTGAGAGGTTTTTAAGGCTCACAGGGAGGGTGTCCCAGCAGATGACAACAGGGACAGAGCCGAAGTGGTGTCCCCCGGGGGGAAGAGCATCACTCCTCCCTGCGGTTGGCCGGCAGGAGGCGGGTGGGTGATGTGCAGACCCTAGAGCAGGTGTCCAGTGGTCCAAGGGGGCTATAGGGGAGCTGGGGAGAGACTTTTCGTCAGGGAATGTAGGGATAGGACAAGGAGTCACCGTGTCAAACTGAAAGAGGGTGGATTTAGAGTAGATACTAGGAAGAAATTCAGACGCTGGGAACAAGTTGCCCAGAGAAGTTGTGGGTGCCCCCATCCCCAAGGCCAGGCTCAATGCGTCTTGGAAAAACCTGCTCTGGTGGGAGATGTCCCTGCCCATGGCAGGGGAGGGTTGGAATTAGATGATCTTTTTTTAAGGTCCATTCCAGCCCAAACTGTTCTATGATTCTATGGTCACCAGTTTTTTGCTGGGCTTTGTTTAGCCAAACCTTGAAAACCATCAGGTGTAGACAGTCACTGTGACTCCCTTCCTTGTGAAAAAGCCTTTCCTAAACACCAGCCCAAACATCCCAGACCTTAATCTATCCCTCGTTACATCAAATAGACACAGTGACCATCCTCTAAACCCCAGCCAAGGAACCCAGCTCCACAAGGGATGTGGAGCACTTGCGCTGGAGGTGCATCACCCACATTGGCTGCTCCGTTACCTGCATGTGGCTCTTTCAGGTCACAAGATGACAGAAGACATTAAGGCAGGACCTGGCATTTCTGCCTGATCAGCTGTAAGAACACTTGGAGCTAAATGAGACTCAAAAATTTCGGTGCACCCTGGGGCTACAGCCCAATTAAAATCAAGGCAGCCCATAAACCAGCTAGCTGAATAGAACAGCAGCAGCGTGAAGTGGCAGAGGGGTGAAAAAACATATTAGGGAAGTCTCTTTAATGTGTGTTGTATCATAAAAGCAATTGTTTAAATGGCTTTTCTAGTGCTCTCAGCAGTAAATACTTCTGGAAAATGCACTGAGCAAATCTCATCTTCCTCTTTCATTTACTGCCTTGTAAATTGAAAGATTAGGGTAGGAATAAACCCCCTCGGTGCCTGGGAGCAGCCGTGTTGTTTGCAGCCCCCTTTCCCCACTCAGCCCCTGGTGGCTCCTGGCTGGGACTGGGTGGTGACAGCTCAGAGCCGTGTCCCCAAACCCTCCTGGGCTTGGAGGCAGGTGCTACCATGCTGACCACACCTGGGACACCCAACTGCTACAGCCGTCACTAAGTGTCTGCTAATTAGGTAATTCTGGCTTCTTTGGTTAATGCTGCCTTAGTTCATGCTGGGAAGGTTTCCTTCAGACCATAGCAGGGAGTTGGACTCAATGCTTCTTATGGGTGCCTTCCAACTTGAGATACTCTATGAGTTCTGTAGTGGTTAACAAGGAGCAAGAAACTTTGGTCTGTCAAAATGAGCAAGCCAGCTCGTTCAGAGTTATTCAACCAGGGAATGCTCAGCTGTAGACACAGGAAGATGAACCAAGGAGGAGCAAACATGGTTCTTTGCAGAGACTCGGGCTCTTGGAGGCAACTCAAAGTCAACTCACAGTGTTACGGTCCCTTCTCATCCTCTTGGTTTCATGAACAAGGGAGGTGCCTGAAGCAAAGGGAGCATTTGTGACTGTAAGTCCATGCCAAGGGCCGACCCCTCGCAGAGAGCATCAGACATCCTCATGACAAACTCAAATAAATTAGACAAGTGGCAAAGTTTGTTAGCAACACACCACAAAAACCGTGTGGAGGAAGC